AAGGGTTATTTTTTATTCCGCACTGATATGCCGACACTGCCCAAAGAACGTTGAAAAGATGCCGAGCCTGGTTGGTACAACGGCACGCGCACCGTGGCGTGGCTTGAACTAGAATTGAGGGTCGAATCGCTCTACTTTCATGACTCTATGCGCGAGCGGGCGTGCCTTTCAGGAGCTCCATGGGAGTCGTCGTGGTGGAGCTCATCTCACGACTCCACGCGCCGTGGATGATGTGGAAGACGCCGATGAAGTCCTTCGTAAATTGCGTGCGCTCCAAATGTAAATCTCAATTGCAAGCACGGAAGCGTCGCGCGCGTCGAGTGGTGCCTCTGCTGCGTCCGATTTGCCGCGGATGCGCAAATGGACTCCTGGAGCCCAAAACGATCACCATTTCACCATTGGGCGCGCGTGCCTCAAGAGAACACAAAGTGAGGCACTCAGACCACGCTGCGCGCCATTGGAGCGGCGGCCTTGGCGCCTTGACAGCACGCCCACGCACGGCTTGGGTACATTGATTGGTGAGGAGCCGGCGCCGGCAGGATTGGACCCACTCGGCTCGCGCGTATCGACCCCACAGGCAGAGTCGGCAGGCCGTCTTAAAATGACCGATGCGCCGCTGCCAGTTCGCATTCCACATCGCCGCGGCGCGCGTGCTCTCTCTTTCAATCAATCCACCATCACCGCGTCCTCGACCTGACCCGCGGTCTCACCACGTACGATGCGGTCCGAGACCACGTTCTCCAACTCGACGGCCACGGCCGCGCACGCCCAGGACCGGCGCGCAGCATCGCAGCAAGCTTGGGCCGAAGCTGGGTCCCCACTGAACTCGCCCACAACGTCTTCCGACGACGGCAGCGACTACCGCGCTGACTATGCTGCCGCCGGCGAAGGCGAAGGTGACCGGCTATTTCCGCACGACAAGACGCTTGAGGGCTGGTCCCGGGCAGGAACTCCGGTCGACAAGGGCTCGTCATGGCGCGCGTGGATGTTCAGCTGGCGGTCAAGCAGCGTGCGCCGTGCACCAGTCCTCCCGCGGCACTTGGATTCGCCAGTCGTCGGTGGACCACTGCGGCGACGGCCGCGATGCGCTCGTCTGTGCATGGCCCTCGTTCTCGCCGTGTTGCTCGTCGCGGTCCCGGCCTCGCTCTACCTGTGCTCTGCTCCCGAGGAATCGGCCGTGCCGCTCGAAAAGCTCGAAAAGGAACGGCCTCGCGAAGCGCCGCAAGAATGGCCGTCTGACCGTCGCCCGCTGTTCATGGACGCGGCCAAGGTGCCACCAATCGAGCTCGATAGCGAACCGCCTGCTCCATCCTCTTCCAATGCCGCCCGCGATGACCCACTTTCCGCCGCCGGCGCCGCCGCACTGCGTTCATTCCCGGGTTCCTACACGCGCGCGACCTGCGGCGCCTTCCCACCCCTGCTCTACGACGGGAGCCGCAAGGCTGCCGCGCATTGGCAAGGACGGCTCTCCGAGGACCTGGTGAATCGCACGCTCGACGACTGCCGGAGTCGCAACTACGAGTGTTTCGGGGCGCAGTGGATCGACGGCGAGCTCTACGTGCAGACGCCGTTACCGCCCGCGTTTCAGTCGCGCACCATGTCCTATTTCGTGCAACTCTGGCACATGCTCAAGTCGGGCCACGACCCGATCGAAAACTTCGAGTTTGTGCAGTTCACAGGCGATTCAATTTTCGGCACCGATTTGCCGTACTGGTCCGGCTCGCAGCAAATCGGGCAGGACGCGGCGTTTGTGGTGCCTGAGTGGTCGTTTTTTGGTACGCTGATGCTTGCCCTGGCCTCCCCTGTACCGTTGCAAATTGCAGTCTGACACAGTTTGGCCGTAATAGCATTCCCCGAAACGGGCATACCCTCGTTCGAGTTCGGCACGCGCAAATCTCGCGCCGTCGGCGCCGCGATCCCCTGGCACAAGAAACGCCCCGAGGTCCTCTTCCGCGGTGCGATTCTCGGCAACGCGCGTAGCGATCTCGAGCGGCACATGGCTGGCTTTGCCGACGACCCGCTGCTCAATATCCAACGCGCGCGACACGACAACTTCATCTCCAACTACGACCAGTGCCACTGGCAGCACCTGCTCTATGTTGACGGGTGGGCGCAATCCGGCCGGCTCAAGACCCAGCTGCAGTGCCGGACCGTGATCATTGCGCACCCGCCGGGGTTCCACGAGTACTTTACCCCGTTCCTGCGCAACGGCACGCATTGGCTCGAGCTCCCGCCGCCGCAAGAGAACGAGACGCAGTGGTCGGTCTTGCCGTCGTTTGTGCGCCGCGTGCGTGCCGAGTACTCGTCGGATCGGATGGCCAAAATCGCCGACCACGCCGCACTGCTGACGAAGTGGATTTTTGACCCGGTCGTGCGCACGTGCGTGACGCTCGAAACCGCGTGGACGTATGCGAACGCTATGACCTACCGCCCACGTCGCGTGCGCGAAGGGTACCGCCCTCTGGAAGAGTTGCTGACGCGGTACATCTGGGACGCGCTGGTGGAGGGGCAGGACAAGATCGAGGCCCTAAAAAGGACGGTCGAGGAGGTGCAGCGCGAGCGCGATGCGTTGCGCGCCTCCATGGCTGAGTACGATGGGTTCGCGGAGGGGATGCCGGCGCTGGACGTCGTGGCGTGATGATAGGTTGTGGATCTTCTTTTTTTGTTGTTGTGCAACTCGTTCTTGTTTGTATAGCTTTTGATTCCAGGTTTTTGGTCTTGAGTGTGCGGCCGTGGCGGCGCGCTCGTCTTCACGTGATAAAATCTTGCACTATTCGATAATTTCAATAGGCATTCCAGTCAGCCTCGAAATATTATCGCGGTGCAGGCGCGGTGCAGACGATGCTGGCGAAGGCATTGGCGCGAGACGTGTTGCCGTGGTTGGAGACGGCGGCACGGAAAGCAGGTGATCGCGCGTCTCACATTGCGCTGCTGTTGCACGACCCATTCCCGTCGCTGATCAGGTCGCAAATTTATGAAATTCGAAAGGTCCCTCGAACGCTCTCACCTTGCAGCCTTCATCGTGCCCGAGAAAGCAGCACCGCCGTCGCCTCCAACGCTCCGTGCCGCCCCCCGTTGTTCAGCTCCCCAACCGCCCCCTGCCCCTCCGCCTGCTGCCTCGAAGTAGCGACCCGACACGCTCGCAACCCTACCTGATCCGCCCCTGGCCCACCCACGATCCATTGTCACGGCGCGCACTGCTCGATTTAAACCGACGCGACCTCGCCGAACCGCACCCAGCCCGTTCCGACCCGTCCGACTTGCGTCTTTCTCCCCGCATTTCGACGCTCGCGCGCAATTTTCCTCGTTGAACCGTCTTTGTCGCCGTGATCCGCCCCTACCATTATCTCCACCCACACTGTCAACATGCCCGGCGTCGGTGTTGCTGCTGTACGTTGCTGCCACCTGCTTGATGCGACGTAGACGCGTGACGGCTCCCCAGCAAGCTCGCGAGCGACGCGCAAATGCCGTGATCCGTCGTCTACCGCGTCTGGCGATTCCATTGGACGTGATACGCTCACCAACGCGCTCCCGTGTCGCGTATCACCCGTACCCTCCGCATCTCACTTCATTCGACGCTGCTCGCCGCAATCCACGCTCCAGGCCCCTGAAATCTCGGCCACGTACGAGGGTACGTTGCACGTGTCGAGTCGAGATTCTTTTGCTTCCCGCGTGGTTCTCATTTGCGGCTCTGGAATTTCCCGATCGTAGAAGTCCGCAATGACAAGCTCGACACGAACTGGCTGTACGTAGATTGGCCCCTCCGCACCCGAGTCGGTCGCGATTGGCTCAACTGACACGTTTCCCACTCTTTTTAGCTACTTGTCGTACGAGGACGGCACCGACAAGCTGCAAGTCGCTGGCAAAGGTGCGTAGCTCATGTCATCGTCGTAAAGCGCTGGATCGAAGAGCGTAACACGAGCGGATTGTCGCGTCGCGTCCGTCCATGCCGAGGGTCCGACGCAGGCTCACTCGCTCTTGCGTTCCCGTCACCGACTAGGTAAGGGCGGGCTCACCGAGTTCGTGACCAAGCTCAAGGACGACCAGGCCGGATTCGGGTATGTGCGCGTGACGGTCGGCAACGACCAGCTCTCGCAGCGCGCCAAGTTTGTGCTTGTCTCGTGGTGCGGGCCCAACGTCAAGGTCATGCGCAAGGCCAAGCTCTCGGTACGTGACGCACATGCACGCAGCGCTCGACGCAGGGACGGACGACCTGGACTGACCGCGTTGTTTGGCGTGGAATAGGTGCACATTGCCGAGGTCAAGCAGACGCTGCCCGTCTTTGCCGTCGAGATCCAGACGTCGACGCTGGCCGACTTGAAGGAGGATGCGGTCATTACCAAACTCAAGAAGGCCATGGGCGCCAACTACGACCGGTATGTTTTTAGCCGTTCTCGTTTTGTATCGGCTTGGCGGATACAGCCGACCTCATTGGATTCTGTGTCGGGTAGGCAAAACTCGGAGTACTGAGAGGAGTGCCCTTCTCACGTCCGGCTCTGGCAGCAATGTCGTTCAAAGGCCGTTATTAAGATCGATGGTGTTCGTCGTTTTCGTTTCGTTGTCGTCCTCTTCCTTTGAAGAATATATCCCCCTTGAGCTGCTGTTGAACAGGGGCACAAGCCGAAACAGAGCGCAAGCGGTCGCCTCAGTGCATTGATAGAATAATATACGGACGTCCTTCAACCGGTAGACGTCATACTCAAAGACTTGAAAGAATGTCATGTGGTGGGACGGGATTCGAACCTGCGTTCCAACTGGCATTGGACCTTTGGGCTGCATTCTCGGGTCGAGGTCGAACGAAAAATGGAACCGTGGCCCGATAAGCTAGGGGACGTGGGGTTCAACCGAGTGAACCCCACCATTCAAGTCTTAAAGAAGATGTTGTAAGGGTTGCTGTCGGCCGCTTTGGAGTAATATGAATAAGATCGGGCGCAAGAAAGTCATAGAACACAGCGCTTACAAGGCCGAGGGAATCATCAGCAAGATTTTCAAGAAAATAATGTGAAGGACGGGATTCGAACCCGCGCCTCCGAAGAGACTGGTGCCTAAAACCAGCGCCTTAGACCGACTCGGCCACCTTCACTGGGGGAAATGCCCGTCCCGAGAAGCCGCTGAGAGTTTATATACCTGCGGTTGCTTCCAACACCGGCCCAACGTCATAGCTCAGAGTCATACATTGTTCGAGCAAAATGCTCGCAGTCAGAGGCCCGCATCAGCAACGCATCATCGAGGCGCACATTTCGGCCCGCACTTCGTGCATCTCATTGCCAGTAAGGCCACTGCCAAGTGACCGCATCAACAACCGGGCCAGTTGTTGCCGCTGGGTCCTGCTCGCGTGGGGCGCCATCGACACTCGATATACCGGCAATCCGTCTCCCGCCAGCGCTGTCGAAGCCAACTCGAGGACCCGGTAGTAATCGTTTGCGCCGTCGAGGAACCCGGCGCAGAGTGTGCTCGCTTCTCCACCAAGAATCTCGAGCGTGCGTGCCGCCGTCGCGAGGGATCAGCAACAGGTTCGCCGACCGACGTCCCTGGAACGCCCACCAACCATCAACTGCATTGGGCCGCACGCAACGTTTTTTTTTGATCCGTCTCGAATATGGACCTGCAAAATGTGCTCTTTGTCGTCGTCGTTGTGTTCTTGATCACGTTCATCCCCATCTCGGCGCACATTTACGTGTTCCCGGACTTCATCGTGTGGGGCAGCTCGTGGTCGGCGACGGCATTCTATCTCGTCTTTGACATGGCCGTGCTGAATCTTTGGTTCAACTACATGATGGCGATTGTCACGGACCCGGGACGCGTGCCGCCGAAATGGGTGCGTTGGGCGGTGAAATGACGCGCGCCATGATCCGGTGCTGACGCGTCGCTGCGCGCTGTTTTGGAACAGGAACCGGCACCGACGAGCGGCGTCATGGAGGTCAAGAACTCGACGTCAGCGCCGCGGTACTGCAGAACGTGCCAGCAGTTCAAACCGCCGCGCACGCACCATTGCAGTCAATGCGACCGGTACAGCCCCGCGGTCTTGATTCTCGTCGGAGCACGCTTGTGATTCCTGACGACATAGCTCATGTAGATGCGTGCTCAAGATGGACCACCATTGCCCGTGGGTCAACAACTGTATCGGGTTCAACAACCAGGCCTATTTCGTGCGGTTCCTGTTCTGGGTCGACGTCGCGACGGGCATGTGCGTGACGGTGCTCGCTTGGCGGCTCTACGACTGGTTCACGCAAACGTATCCGGCGTGGGTATGGTTGCGTTCGTCCATTTTCGGGATTCGCGCGCGGCTTGTCACTCTGCTCACCGGACCTGTTTGATAGTACTACTCGGACGTCGTGCTCTACCAGCTTGTCATCACAATCATCGACATTTGCATGGCCGTGCCCGTGTTCCTCACCGTCGGCGCGCTCTCGATCTACCACTTTTACTACATTGTGACCAACTGCACGACCATCGAGTCCATGGAAAAGGAGCGCAAGGCCGTCGTGCGGCGCATGGACGACGGCATGGTTGGCAACGTATGCCCCGCATTTTCTTCCCTCCCGCTTCTCCCACTCTTTTCCAGTGCCTGACCTGTGCACGCTCACCCCGCCAGATCGAGAACGCGTACGACATCGACTGGTGGACCAACATCAAGTCCGTCTTCGGGCGCAACCCGATCTTCTGGTGCTTCCCACGGAGTCTTGCGCACCCGGTGCCCGCCGAATGCGGCGACGGCACCGTTTTCCCGATCAACATGACGCACGTCGAGTCGTGGTCGGCGCCCGCCGAGCCCAAGCGCCACCATGGGCGGCACGTACGCCGCGGGTCCGAAGGGTACGAGATTGATATGGGCACGACCTACTATGCTGAGCAAGCCGCGGACCCGTACGCCGGGTGGCACCACCAGGTGGATGTGGACGGCGGCGTTGGCACACAGTACCAGACCGCGGCGACGATGAACGGGTACTCGCCGGCGGCCATGGACGACTACGAGGACCATATTCCGCTTGCCGAAGTGCGCAGCGGGATGCGCAAGCGGTCAGCGTCGCGAGGGCGCGGGTTGCCAGACAAGAAGGATATGTGACACGGTGTGCGCGCTTGCGGGTGCCATGACGGGATTTGGTTTTCTATCGTTTGCTCTTATTTCTTCGTCGAGTTAAGTTTGTCGTGGCCCAACATTTCGGACCGTGATTCGCAACTATATCCTTGTAGATGGCGCAATCTGCAATTTCATGGCCTGAACTGGAGCTCCCTGTCTGGTTTGTCCGCAAAAGAATGGTTTCAATCCAGTCCATGTCCATGGGAAGATGGGGAGCGAAGATCGTATTGCTCACTGCTCTGATGCCGGATCGGCAGCCAACCGCATGCCCGGGCGGTAGAGCACAAGATCCTGTTCGATACGGTGCCGCACGATTGCAAACTCGCGCTCGAAATCCATGATCGTCAGCGGCGGGTTGCCCGTGTACCCCGTCCAGTGGTCGTTAAACGACTTGAACACATAGCCTACGGGCGTTTGTGCTGTGTTAGATTGCAAAATTGGCGCGGAAGGGCGCGCGATCAAACGTACAGTAAAACTCGTGCACGGTCCCGCGTGTTGGCCCGTGCAGCAGCATGTTGTACTGGAGCCGGCGCGTGCGCAGCGTCTGCACGACGTAGTTGGTCACGTTGATGCCGACAATCGCAAACGAGTACCACGAGACGGGGTGCTGCGACGCGGCGAGCACGGCCTTGGCCACGGTCGGGTGCACCTTGGCAAAGTAGACAAGGTCGTCGAGCGCCTGCATGCCTGTGGTCGGAAGAAAATGAGGTCAGGAGCCTCTCTCGACGTCGTAGACAATGTAAGAAAGGGAAGAACCCTGAACGTACCCATGCCGCGGAAATCAGTCGCTGGGTCCTTGCCCTGGAACCCAATCCGACCCCACTGGCTTGTGACGCGGGCCTCGAGCTGTTCGCCGGGCATGAGCAGCGACCACAGCTCGAGCAATTTACGCTCGTGCGTGCGGTTGGCCGCGTCGTACTTGGTCGCTGCGCGCGCATTGATATCGGCGACGACGCGGTGTGTCTCGTGGATGACCGAGACGGCGGCAAACAAAACTCGGGCCTCGGGCCTATGAAAGATCATGGATGGGAACATCAATACCAAGCGGGAATCGGGCGGGCTTGCGTGACAGAGGAGTGACATACGTCTCAAGGCTGGTGCGACCGGGGAAGTGCTTCTTGTAGAGAATCATCTGCGTCACCTCTTCGAGCCCGCATTCTGGAGTAACATGGAGTGTTAGATGCCGCTATACTTCTCCGCTCGCCGTCCAGTCCATGGGATACCTCGAGACTCGATGCTGCGTCGTTCGAGCTAAAATAACGCACGCCAGATCAGGGGAGGGCGTGGGTATGAGCATAACGCCAGGTGATGCGTCTCCATACCGTCAGCTCCTTTGAGTACAGCAGTGACATTTCTGCGGCGAAAAGGGGTGGGGAAACGTCAGCTCGGCCGTTGCAACGCATACTTCCAGCCTTGACATGCGAAATCGCACCAATCTCTGCAATCGCGTCGCAAGAAACGGGGAGCATCGCGCCTCTGTCGCGACCGTCCTGGTCGTCGACCTCGTCGTCGCAGTCGTGGTCGTCGAGCAGCGGTCGCTTGACGGCGTCCTCGTCCTCGTCCTCTTCACCACCCTCTTTCGACGCGAGCGTCGGACCCACGCGCCGCGTCCTGCGCCCATGGCCCTCACGCACATATTCACCGCGCGCTTCCCTCTGCCGCTTCACTTCAGCCGCACAGAGCCGGTAGAGCTCGGTCGTGCGTGTGACCAGGCCGTACAAGTACTTGACGAGCCGAAATACGGGCCGCAACCAAGGGCGCGAGGCCACGTAGGCGCGTGCTACGAGCCGTGCGCGACCTGCGGGCGACGTGCCGGCGGTGCCGACGGTCGCGTGCGTCGGCGGCGGGAGCAGCAGCAGGACGAGGTTGGTCAAAGGCTGCATGGCGCCGAAATGGTATAGAGCGACAGTAGAGAGCGCAAACAGTGTCGTGATGGCCAGAACGGGCACTTGAGAGGTCGGATCGGTGGATGCGGTTGCGTTGCTGGCGGAGGAAGTCGCAGTTGCAGGGTCGGTGCCGGGCTTGGCGAGCATTATTTCTCGTCGCGGTCGGATTGTTCGACCTCTTGCAGTCGATCCTCGTGTGCTTCGTCGTCGCTTGGAGGTCGTGCAACGTCTTGATGTTGGCCGTCGGTTAGTATTGCGAGCATTTGTAAATGTTTGCGAGTTGAACTTGCGTGCATCGCGGTCGCGTGTCGGTACTGATTGAGCGTGATGGCTCTGGCGGGATGCGGTGGCTTTTGTTGGCGAATGGCAACACACGCAAGAAATAACGAACAAGACGAATAAACGAATGATTCTCGATTGTCCTGTGGAGCAAAACCAGGTGACATCATTGAACACAAAACGAACCTGATCGGCGCCAGCACACCGGTCAGGTTTGCAACTCGCCGAGCATCTGCTGAACGCGCGCGCGCTGCACGCGCACCTGCTCGAGCCGGTCGACGAGCCGCTGCACCTCGTCCGTCAGCGCCTGGTCGTAGAGATCTGCCAGGTTCGACAAGGGCACCGTGAGCCGCTCATCAATGAGCTTGTGGTATTGTTCCTAATCAAGGCATGCTGTCGGTCAGTCTCCTGAGGAGTCCACCCCAGTTAAGCAACTTCACGCACCAAGAGATCCTTGCGCATCCCCTCCTGCACCTCGCTTGTCGACCGCACAAACTGCTCCTCGAGTTTGCCCCACTGCGCCTTCATCCACTGCATCCCGGAGATGGCCACCGCAATCCCGGCCGGAACCGCATAAACGGCCTCGACCCCCTGCGCGACCGCAAACCCGGTCGCCGCGGCCGTCCCGACTTGCGCGAGCACCGCCTGGATCACGAGCGACTCGGCGCGCGCACGCATCGTCTCGGCATACTCGCCCTGCTCGTACTGTGCGCGGTGCTTCCAAACCGTGTTGCTGAGAATGAACGGGTCCAACGTGCCGTGCGTGACCTGGTCTTTCTCGACTACGTCCCGCAGGTAGTCGAGGACCGCGCGCATCGGCTCGACGGCCAGGTCCAC